GATGTATGACCATGTTTCAAGTTCAGGCTCTGTGAACCTGAACTAGGATCTTCACCTCAAACTGTAAACTCATCCACTGCTCTTTATCACCTCTCCAATTACACAAACCTACCTTACACCTTCTTCTCTCTCATTTGCCATGTCAAGTTACTGTTAAACTCTGTTGAAGTTAATATATACCTTAAAAACATTCTACTTTTCTCCATCAGAGATTTTTCAAAGGGAGCTATGTAATAGGGGATTTTGGATATTTTTAGTAATATTTTGGTTGTAATATGATTATAACCCTACTGGCTCAAAGTTGAGCCAAAAGATCCTCATGTCTCATAGAAAAAGATACAACCAAATTGTGTGCCTCTTGGTGGGAGATTTTAATACTGCTTATACAGTGTTTCTTTGTTTTCTTTTTTCTTTTTTCTTTTTTTTGCCAAAATATAAATTTGAATCACATTCGGCGTCTATTTCAAATAGAAAATTACAAAAATACAGGTTGACAGCAAAAAAATTTAAATGTCATCATGATCAACATTCTGCAAATTCCAAATTTCATTAAAACAGAACAAGCTAATTCTAACAATAAATTGAAAGGAAAAGGAAAAATATATATATAAAAACAAGGAACCCTGTGGATTAAGAGAATGGTGTCAATATCAGCAAATTTCAACTTTCATTTATCTTATCTTCATCCTCAAATAAATAAATTAGTAATAACAATTTAAAAATCTAAAAAGTTACATGGGCCCTCCCTGGTGGCGCAGCGGGTTAAAGCACAGCACAAAGAAGCTTAAGACACTTTCGCATGAGTTCGATCCCCACCTGCCCCAGAGGTGACCACATGGCATGGCAGATCTCCCCTGACCCGCCCGCTGCTCCCCTCAGCAGTGTACTTTGTTGATCTGCCTGTTCTGCTCCCTGCTCTGTCTCTGGTGAATCCTCTCACCCTCTGCATCTCTGGCCTGTACCCCAGTTCTGTGTGAATAAATAAAATAAATCTTTTTTAAAAAATCTAAAAAGCTACATGTAGAAAAACTGAACTGAACAGAATCATTTCTCCCCAGAAATTCATATGCTAAGTCTTTAACCTCCAATATCTTGGAATGTGACTGCATTTGAACACTGGAAATTTAAAAAAGGGGTTAAGTTAAAAAGACTCTGTTGGGCATGTTTTAAACCAATCTGACTTTTTAGCCATTGGATAAGAAGATGGTATTTGGACACACAAAAGAGCTACCAGATATTTGCATGCAGACAGGAGAACTATGTGAGGAAGCAGCAGGTGAGTACCCACCTGTGAGACAGAAAGAGGAGCCTCTAAAGAAACCAAAACTGAGAAAAACAATTTTTGTTGTTTAAGTCACTCATTCTGTGGTATTTTATTATGGATTTAAAAATAATAATACTGATGTTACATTATTGAATAGGTCCATCAATCAATGAAACTCAAGAAACTTAGATGGAGATAGATTGTTGATCCTGGGTCAATATATCTCAATTGACAAAATGAAGAGAATCAAGTTTTCTGGTAAGAGGTTATGTCAAATATAGTTTGAAAATGCACCAGAATAATTCAGAATTTCCTTTTCTCTTCATTAGAAACACTGTCTGAGATCTAACTGAATGCAAAAGAACACACAAATGTGAACATTAGAAACACTGTCTTAGATCTAACTGAATGCAAAAGAACACACAAATGTGAATGTAATTATGTGACTACTTCTCTTGCTGACTCATTTGATTCTATTCATACATTTACAGTGAGTTCATATAGTTTCACAAAGTAGAATATAAACATTACTAAAAATCTGCATTACTTATAATAATAAAACTGATTCTACTCATTCTCTTCTATGTAGCACTATGATTTTATGCCAATTTACCATTTACTTACTGTCTTCTTACTTATAAATTGTCCATACTAGTAGCCAGTATGTAGCCCATACAGCTTGCCAACAATTCCAAGTTTCAGCTGTCCACTGTGTTCCCATCCATTTCATCTCTTAAATGTGTTTGAAGCATTAACAACAGGTTGTATTTCATCCTAGAGACAGCTGGGTTTCAGGGAGAGGTAAAATGTTTCATTATCTCACTCTATTGTACAAGACAAGTGTGCTATTGTATTACCTTGAAATGTCATCTTTGAAGTCTTATTAAAGGTACATGGTGAGCTGAGCCGTCTGGAAAACAGAGTGTAGACTGCAAAATAATTATAAGTCAGTTCATTTTGGTGCTTTTTCCCCCCAGTTAAGCCTACTGTGTCAGCTGCTAATAACAGTGGGTTTTCAGTGGGTTAGGACCACCAGACACGCTTAAACTGGAGGCGCTGTCCTTGGTGCTAGTGATTCCCACATACCCCTGGCAACATATACCCCTCCCTAATTTCCTTTCCAGTAATATGCTAAAGAAACTCCCATCTGCCTTGTGGGAATTTCTCCGTCTTTTGGCTTGCTGGGTTTCCCCCTATTTTACCATTCTTTTCTATGCCCCTTCAATTAAAAAACATTTGTTTTCCATCTATTTATCAAGGCAAATAATTTCTATTTTTCAGAGCTTACTACTTAAGACAGTAATTCAAAAATTAGTTCTGGCTTCTTTTTTCCTAAGTTTTGTACTAAGTTACAGAGAAATCTAAGACTCAAAGAAAAAACAGGAAACAATTTCGAAGGCACTCTTTATGGACTCTACTCATCTGACAATTCCTCTAAGAAACTTTCCTTGAACACCCATGATGAGTCAAGGTCCCCTCTTGCTTACTCTTAAAGTACCCTATAGATAAATCTCTTAGTAAGTAATCACATTTACTTGAAACTATTTAGTAGTTTTGAGTGCCACTAATGAGCATTTCTTAAATGCTAAGTCCCATGTATTATTCAAATATGAATAGTGGAATACAGGATATGTTGAACTAATATTGTCAGACTAATTTTAATTACTAGCAACATTAGAGGGATAGTCACGACAACACTTCCTTAAAAGGTAACCTCCCCAATTACATTTGGTTGTGCTCTAAATTTCAGAGTGGCAAGGCTTCTCTGATGAAGATATTCTGTACTGAGTCCATTTGCCATTGCATCCACCAATATTAATCTGGTAACTCAGTTCCTCAGAATGACAAGCAAAAAATCAATGCTATCTATTTCAAAGACTCTGGCTTCCCGCTAATTTCCTTTTTTCTTCTCCCATTTCACCAACATAGTTGTAGTCCCTAATATACTGTGCATGAAAACTGTTCCCTAAGACTGCGCAAGAACAGTACATCCATGCTTTTCATCTAAAAGTAGACCTATATTGCTCTGGCAAGACCAAGGAATTGAGCCATCGTCAACAAATAAAAGGACATTGTTTTCCAGCTAAAAGTGAAATTTCTGATCCTCCCTGATGGCATAATGGATTAGGATGCAGCAGAGCAAGCTAGATGCAGCTGCTTCAGTGCGAGTTCGATCCTGGGCCTCAGAGGTGATGCACAAACCTCTCCTGTCTGGCCCACTGCTCCCCTCAGCGGTGCACTTCATTAATCTACCTGTTCTGCTCCGCACTCTGTCTCTGGTGAATCTTCTCACCACTCCTGCACCTCTGTTCTGTACTCCAGTTCTGTATACATAAATAAATAAATCTATTTTTTAAGTGAAAGTTCAAGTAATAGAGAAAGGCAGAGGAATTAAGAAGCTGAAAACTAAGAAAACAGAGGTGGATGTGAGAAAGAAAAAAGATTTTCTTGATGTTGCCTCCTTCCCTTCCCCACACCCCATACAGGTGTATTTCAACTTTGCTGAAGTTTAGTCAGTAGATATTCGGCTCTAACCACACTTTCATGGACCCCAGTGCCTTTAAAGAACTCTTCCTCCTTCTACAGTGCATGGGGGCAGGGGTGAGAATGGCCAAGCCAAATTGGTGAGAAGAAACATGTGAAGTCTCTCATTTGTGGGTGATAGAGCAATTTCCCTCCCTTTAAGAATGGCTTCCTCAGCACTCTGAACCAAAAATGATTTTGTAAATAAGAATCAGTGTTAGAATTATTCCTCACCAAATTTTTCAGGACAAATATGTAACTTACGGTTCCTTCCTACTTCAATGGAACACCAGCTATAATTTTTTAAATCTTTAAAACAACAAATATGTTAATTCAAACTAACTCCCAAAGATTAGGAAGAAAGAGAAGCACTTGGCCTTTAAATCTTCAGAAGAGTATTTAATGACAGGTTCAGCCTGTTTAATGACAGGCCTAGTACCACACCCCGTTTTATTATGTTTCATTATTTCTGCATAAATGTCCTTTATTACTCATGATAAATAAAAGTTAAATACTTGTCAAGGTGGGTTTAAATAGGTATGAATGCAAACAAAAATATACTGCACGAATATCACGAAACTGGGATCTCGGATTTTACATATGTAAAACCTCACATACACCAGGTTGCCATAATCACGCATACGCATAATTCAAGAATGAAAAGAATAAAAAAGCACATCCAAAACAGGATTCTCAAGATTTTTCACTGAGACTGATTTTGACCGATTCAAATAGGAAGACACACCCAAAAGAAAATTGCTAAGGTTGATGCAGGATGTGAAACTAATGAAGTTCACGTACTGCCTGAGGATGAATTTAACCTGCATGACAGGTGCAGAGCTGTCAGATTCAGACATCTTAAGGGACACGGAGTTATTTTAAATGCTTTTCTCTTAGTCATTTGAATACACAGGGAACGACTAACTTCCGAGTGTGGCCAGTTAGCCCCGGGGCGGAAGAAATAGAAGTCCTCTGCTCCGCCTGCTGGAGGGAGGGAATTCAGACCGAGAGCATTGATTCAATATTCCAAAGCTTAGAGTGTGCGGGACAACAAGGGAACGCCGAGACGCTTTCCTGGGTTCAGCGCATGCGTCCTAGCACCTCTGGACTGGCTCCCCACCCCCTACTCCCCCGTCCTGTGACGTCACTGTGGGTTTGGCCTCGCGGGCCAGTAGTACGGGACGTGCCCGCACAAGTCTGATGGACTGGAGCGGAGCCTAAGGGGGTGGGGAGAGCCCTGCTGGATAGCCCAGCTGAAAACTGCTTTATTCCCGTCGGCTCTCCACTCTGCGAGAGCGTTAACTTTGCAGTGAGGACTCTGCAGCACGCCGGGACTCTTCCGCGGGAGGAGCGGCAGCTAAGCGCGGTTGCTACTCTCTTCGGGAGCGAGCCGGCACGTCTTCTGGTTCGCGCTGCCAGAAAAAGCCCATTTTAAACTGATCGGCCACCTCACGGGCACGCCAGCCGCAGGAAAGCGGAAAAAGAGGACTGGAAAGGTGCTGAGCTCTCCCGGTGAGGGGAGAGCGAGCGCTCTGGTGCTAAGTGGGGAAGGTCTGTTGCAGAACTCGCGGCCGAGGTGGATTATTCAGGCCAGTTTGCGTCTGGGGACTGCGAAATGCGCGAGGAGCACAAGGTCATGCTCGCTGATGGCAGCGGCGAAGCAGAGCTGTCCAGTGCCGCCGCGCGCGGGCAAGTGGAAACTGTGAAACAGCTCCTAGAAGCCGGTGCTGATCCTAACCGAGTCAACCGCTACGGGAGACGCCCGATACAGGTAACTGGGGCCCTGGAGCCTCGCCGGCAGGGGGCGCTCAACGCTGGGCGCGGCACCGTCTCGGCAGGGACCGAGATCTTCATCTGTGCGGACCGGAGTCTCTCAAGCTAGAGGAGTGGCGTCAGGCAGGTTTTCCACCCACCAAAATTCTAATGAAAGAGACTGACAAACCTCTTGCTTTCGTGTGGTTTTCTTTTTAATGGGGTTGGGGTGGTGGTGGGGAACGACTGTATTTTCTGTCTTGATCAGAGATGCAAAAGATTCAATTGCAGACTAAAGAAGTAAAAGAATTTTAGGTTATTGGGAAGAACTGTTTTTGTCTTGTCTACTTTCGACGATAGAGATAACTTACGTATTACACAATCCAGGTTGGGTTTAAAGGGTCATACAAGTCCATAGCAAAAAAAAAAAAAAAATCACCGTGAACTTTAAAGTTGCTATAGGCAAGTCCCTGTCGTCTTTCCTCATAAAGACGAAGTGAATACAAAGGAATAAAACAGGATTCTTCAGCAGAAATATTTAGTGTCTTTTATGTTAGCAATCTCTTGGTTGTTACATATGAAAAATATGCTATAGATTTTTATTTTTTTAATTACACTGAATGCTCGGGTAATAAAAGTGTTCCTGCAGCAGTGTTAGGTCTTTATAAATGGTGAAAGTCCTTCATAAATAATTGGCCTCTGCAGTGTTAAGATACATTCATTCAATATATTTAACTATTAACCACTCTCCAGTTAGTACCAATATATTCTTTTAAATCTAAATATGAGGTATTGGTTTATGCCTTACTTTTGACTATTATGGTCACATTTAGTATTCACCTCACCTTCCAGAATCAAGCTATTATTAAGGAATCTTATTGAAGTGTAGAATATAAGGAAAATATATGTTCTTTTTCAATTTTTAGAAAATTGTTTTAAGAAATGAGGGATAGTTTAAGGCAAGAAAAATAGGGTTAAATGGTTCATAAGGATTTCAAATTATGTTGGATGTAAAAAGCTGTACTTATAGTTTTAATTCACCTAATGTTTCAGTTTCTGAACTATTAAAAATCACTCCCCCCCTTTTTCTATATATATATGAAATATCCCTTATATCACTTGTGGAAATAATATATCATGACTTTTTAGGAAAGAAATAGATGTCTTTTAATTACATAATACATTTTAAAACATGTAAACTCACAAGAACAAATAACTCCACCTTGAAAATTAGGTTTTTTTAAATTGTTTTATTTTTAAAATAAGAAAGTAAGTACTTGCATTGCATACATGTATATAAGTGGATGCTATAAGATTACTACCCTAAAGCATCCTTTTCTAAGTTGTGGATTGATCTGATTTGATTAACATCTAAGCTCTTTTTTGTATAGCAAAATATTTCCTCTTTAATATATATAATGTAATCTGTACAGTGTATATATAATATTTACGTGACATTAAATATATATATTACCCCATAAATTTTGACCCTTCTATATAACATTAAATTATTAAAAATGGTGAACTAGTCATTAAAAACAAATCACATGTTTTCATCTTACAATACTATTAGTGACTGTATTTACTCTTTTCCCTCTGCCTCCAATTGTGGCTAAAATTATTAGACTATATTCCGTTTACAAGTACCACACATGATAGTGAAAAGCAAAAACTTTCCACCAGTGATTTAAGAACTAAGCAAAGTAAACCTTATTTTAAGTTTAGCTCTCTCCTCTAAAGTATTACTCTTAACTTAAAAAGATCAGCTGACTGCTTCTTAAATATTTTTAAGCTGGATGGGGGGAGAGGGAGGCTAATGAAATGATTTAAGACTTTAAATACCTTTAAACACTGTCTCTAAATCATTAACAAAAAAAGATGTTCACGTTTCAATAGAAATAACCCCCCCCCCACACACACACACACACACACAATTATTTTATCACCAGGTCTTTCTTGTCTCTGCACATTTGGAGAATGAAGTAAAACTATACAATTAGGATTGAGCTGAGTATACCTAGGGACAGTGGAGGGGAAGAGGGACTGAAACTGCCATCTGTGAAGGAAACGAGTGCCTCTGAATAGGCGGATACTCCAGGAACAGGTACTTCTTTAAAATGGCTCTGTCCCTGCCCAAACCTAATTTTGTTGCCCCCACCCAAGCCCTGAACACTCCGATGATCTCTTCCCAGGTCATGATGATGGGCAGCGTCCGTGTGGCGAAGCTGCTACTGCTCCACGGCGCGGATCCCAACTGCGCTGACCCCCACACCCTCACGCGGCCGGTGCACGACGCTGCCCGGGAGGGCTTCCTGGACACGCTGGTGGCGCTGCATCAGGCGGGGGCGAGGCTGGATGTGCCAGATGCCTGGGGTCGCCTGCCCGTGGACCTGGCTGAGGAGCGTGGCCACCACGCCATCTCCCGATACCTGAAGGCAGCTACGGGAGACTGACCTTGGGTACATTTGCTGCCAAAGGACTTTTCTTTTTCTCCCCAACTCCCCACCCCAACTTAGTTCAATGGAGGCTGCCAAGGTGGAGCAGTGGAAAAGCTAAAAACCGAAAAGCTGCTCCGCTTCCAGCAGGACGGGAATGCATTGCATTTTTTCTTTTTCTTTTTTTTTTTTAACTGGATTCCGCCTTTGACTTATTGTGAAACCAAATGAGGAAAGGTGGAACAAATGGATTTTCCGTGCGATTTAGGACGAAATGTGAAGTTTCCTAGTGTCTTTTAACTTTTCTGGCAGAAAGTGAAGTGTGAAGTCCGAAGAACAACCAGGTCTGTCAGGTCAATGTGGTGAAGCTGGTGAGGCTGCAGGAGGAGGGGGGCAGGCAGTTTGCCTCACTGACCTTGAAGGAGCACCCTTCTACAGCCCCTACTTTAGGCATTAGGCTCCTGCTAAGGAAAACCTGGAGACTAAGGACCAGAAGACCGAGACTGTTGACCTAGTGTCTGTAGGCGCCCACACTTTTAAATGCTATGTGGTGCACAGCATGAGACTGATAATTGGGAGCTCCGAGGGCTCCTGTCCAGCTCCTCTGCCAAAGTGAGAGAAATGGGGGACTCCGGATCACCACGCCTAATTTGCTGGCATATTCTAAAATCCTTGGTTCGGATGACGCCCAGCAGCTCTCCGAAGGAACTGGGCACGCGGGTTCTTGCTATTTGTTATTCAGTGGAAGCGAGATTCCTGTGGTTCCAAACGTCTGTGCACAGAATGAAGGTGAATGGTAGCCAAACAATTGTAGCATTGAACTGATTGCTGTGTCTATATACAATAAGATACAGAAACAACCCTGTGAACTGCCATTTGGAAAGATTTTGAGATAGTGTATACTTCTGAATTCTTCAGTTATAGTCTTACTTAATGGGGTAACTTAAAACAACAAAGTAACTATTGGACCTTAGAAAAGAGGATGAATTTCAGTTATAAATGATGCTGGCAAATCTTAGTACCAGCACCTACATGATTTTCATCCTTAACCTATTTATTTCCTTGTTAAGTTTTCTGTTTCCTTTACTAGAGTGTCTCAGGGGATCAAACTAAAATATTCCAAATCTTTTGGAGATAGGTGCACTTGCCCAGTAAAGTTCTTGGGATAGTTCCCAAAGGATTACTGAACAAGTAGACTGAGCAAAAAGGGTTGAAAATATATGATGATGGCTTTGTGAAATGTCTTAATATCTGCTGAAACTAAAGGCACACTGCTTTGCAATTAAACCTCCAGTGCTGCTTGATTCATTATAGCTTTGGAACGGATAACTCACTGCTTTTAATTAAAATAAATAAATAAAGGTTGGACTCCAAGATGTTCCTAGCTTGGTATAAAAATGTATGTTCATAGATTTTTTCCACTAACTCCTGAGAAATGTTAGACTCAAAGGGTTTCACTTCTAATATTTTTGTAGTAATTGTAGTGATACCAGTAACAATTTATAAAAACTGCTTACACTTATACCGTATCTTTAGGTAGGTAGGTAGATAATAAATGGATAGATACATAAATAGGTAGAGAATTGAGAGATTTACAAGAAGGGATTCCTTTCAGCTAAATAATCTTCTCCATCAATTCTTTACTACCCAAAGCTCATGGATTAGTTTGTTTGTTTTTTTTTTTTTACCATTTTACCATTCTCCTCTTCAGAGTTATTAGTGATGGATATAAAGTGAACTGATTTTATTTTTTAAGCAGAAACATGAAGGCTCTCCCTTGTAAGTGTCTAGGGTACCTTCTCTTTCTATAATATCTAGTAAATCTAAGCAAATTCTTTTAAATCCATTTTAAAATATTGACAGTATAAAGAATAACCTCCCAAAGAAAGGCCTAAAAACACTTTTGGAATGAAGATAATGGAATCCCCATTTGCAAATTCAATTCCAGTTATTATTGGCTACAAGAATAGGATTTCTAAAGTTCGTGTTGTTCTGTAACTATTAAGAAGTATTCTGTATAAAGGTAAATTCATCCCTTAAAATCTTATATTTGACATGTGGAATCTCTTATTTTGTCTTCTATTTCTAGCATCAAGATTTGCTAGTTACATAAAGTTGTGTAATGGAAAATAATATCTTGAAATAAATATTTGAAATATGGATTTCATTCTTACAAAGAAAGTGTTGTTTCTGATGGTAATGTGATATTAAACACTAAAACAAGAAAATGTGGTTGTGACATTTCTGGTATCCTCTATATCACTGACCTCCATTAAATAAAATGAAACTGGAAGTGGATGTCTTCAAAGCAAATGGAGGCAAAGGGAGCTGGTAACTGATAATACTGAATAGCAAGAGAGAAGTGAGAATCAGTATGCACGTAGAGTAGGAAAGGGCAGAAATGAGACTCTTAAATGAATTTTTTTTTCATTTATGTTTTTATGATTAAGTATTTGTGATTTTTATTTTTCTCTTCTACACATAGCTTATAACTACAATGGAGAAGGGAATTAAGTATGTTAATATACCATGCATAAATTTGTTGTTACCAAATTACTGCACTGTTTTACTTTGTGAATAAGAGAATTCAAAGTTTGGGAGGAAATGTGGTTGTGGATCTCACAGTACCATATGACTTTTTTTTTCTTTGCTTTAGGCATGTTTTTTTTTTTAATATATAAAACAAAACCACAGCATTATTGAAAATCAGTTACCAGCTGGTACACTGAGATGGCAGTGCAACAGGTATACAAGTAAATTCATGCAAACAAATATAGCTACTATACACGAGTCCTGCCTCTGCCTCTAATGTGGAATTACAGAAAAATACACAAATTCACTTCTGTACCTAAAAAGCTTATCAATGTTTATATGAATCCTACATGACCTTCATTCCAAAAAGATCTTCAAGTGAAATAAATTCAGAATAAACTAATTTATTCACTTGGCCTAATTTTTATATTTCCTTTTACAGCCAAAAATGAAAAGCTGAGAATGACTTACTATGAAAGCAAAATCTACTTAAAATTTCCTGTGCTTAAATTAGCCGTTTTAGATCTAAGGAAGTAATCTCTAAAAGGATAACTGAAGATTCATAAAATCCCAACAGCTTTAGGAAAGTGTGTATGTAGGAATTTATTCATTTGGCCTAATTTTTATATTTCCTCTTACAGTCAACACTGAAAAGCTAAGAATGATTTACTGTGAAAGCAAAATCTACTTAAAATTTCCTGTGCTTTAATTAGCCATTTTAGATCTAAGGAAATAATCTTTAAAAGGATAACTGAAGATTCATAAAATCCCAACAGTTTTAAAAAGAAAAGTGTATATGTAGGAATGTTTTTATGCCATTTTATTTCTGTACTATGGCAAAAAGAATATAGTGCCCAGGATCAAATGAATCATCTATAAAGCTTCCCAACTGACCTTTTTTTAAATAAATACTTATCTAACATAGATTTATATTGCAATTCTATCTTGCCCATCCTTTATGGGAAATGTTAAAAACAGACTACTTCTATAATATGTAATAGTCAGTGGTGATTTTTTTTACCACTTCTATAATTACCTTTTAAATATTTTTTTAAAAAAACATAAGGTATGCCTATTTTCCTTTTATACTCTACCAGTGGTTATTTTGTTTTTATTTTTACAATGGAGGATAATTTTTCTAATGCTCAATACATTATCACTCTACCAAAACTAGAGAAAATAGAAATTAGTCCACCAAAAAAAAATAGAAGTCATCTCAAGAAGCATTTTGAAATTTGGTGACTTCCTTCTAAGCAAATGCAAGAGCCAGTGTCATCCAAAATACAAGAATCTGCTTTCAGACTAGCCAGTTAATGAACAACTCTGTCACTGAAATGTGTACATGCCAGCCATTTCAGGAGGCAGAGAATGAGGTGAAAAGGAAGCAGCAAAAGGAATAAAAGCCGTTCAACACAATGAATCACATTAAACCAGAACAAACTGTATATGGTCTACACGCAGACAGGGATTATAAAAGTTTTCTTCTACCTTCTTGAATGCCTATAAACTTTCTCAAGTTCAGCTATAACAAACGAAATGACTGCTTATTTGCCTCTTGAATCCCCTGATCAGATTTTAATGTCATTCCTTGCATAAGGAAAAAAATTATAAAACAGTTATTTTTATATAGCATCCCCTTATTAAATTATAAAGAAATTTTTATTTGAAGCCAGTGCTGCTAGTAAAATATGTAACTAGCATGATACATATTGAATACAAAAATATAACTAGCATTAATGTGGAAACTAAACAACCAACTTTAATTTACTGATTTGAAGTTTGAAATAAATATAAACCAAAGCTTTGCTGGGGGGAGAGGGACTTTGAAAGATGTATGAAAATGATATGCCAACTATCTCATAGTTATCACATATCTAGATTATACTGGAAGTTGCCAGAGGAGCCCCACTTTTATTAATCCTCTTCCCATTCAGAAGCTCCTGGAGAAAAATAGACTCAGTACTGGCAGAGAAAATATTTTACAACAAAGTGAATACTTTAAGACTAATTACAGTAATTAAACCAGGCATCATTTCCCTTTTATATTTGGCCTCCTCCCAAAATTCATAATCTTCTACTAATACTCTCACTGGAATCCTCTATATCATAAAGTGGCTGGTGCTACTTATGTGACTTCTGGATCTCCATTTCATTTTAAACAAATTTCCCTCTGTCTTCTTATTCCTTAACAATTTTCTACATTTCTTTGCCTTAGCTAAATAGTGAATCTCCCTGAGAATTGTATTTTTGTTGGCACCAGATTGTAGATACTGGTCTGTACATAAGTGTCTGCTCTTTTGGTGACTTTCAGTACAGTCCTGGGCCAAATATATAAGGATGACCCATTGCTCATTATGATTTGTTCAGAGTTTGTCAGAGTAAGCTTTCAATAATTTCATTGTCAGTTATTACATACTTAATAATGTGTTTATAACTAAAACAGGAAACAGTTTGTTTTGTTCACAACCAGTATCAGTCAAATGTGGAGTGTGTTAGAAATATTTGTATTTCTATTTTCTATTTAGAAAGTAGCTCCTCATGCCACTGGTGAGTTATGAGCTGTAAGCTCTACCACCTTTCTTAGGGCACCACAATATTCCCTAGAGTCCCCTGTCTTGCCTCCCAACATGACAGCTAGAGTTATGTATTATAACCTTGCCTAAAATATTTATCATCTACCACTCTAATCTCTGGACTGTCTTCAATAAATCTCATCTGGATTTATTCAAGTATTTCAGGATACTTTTGAGCTGTTTTAATGTCACCATACACTGATGAGTTTAATATTTGCCCTTTTCTAGGGAAAAATTAGTATTTCACATTCCATTTACCCCCAGATACTATTATATCTTTTTAGTGGGAGTGTAACCACCAGTCATTGAGGACCAACATAAGAGAGGTGGTTGGTTCTTAATGGAGATTCCATATCAAAATCACCTATAAAGAGGTTCTAAAATTCAGCTTTACTGTTTGTGTACATACATATTATGTATTTACAATCTTCCCTTACTTATATGAGTATATATGTGTATATATCTTCAAGATTTACATGTGATCATATAGACACACACATATATATTCAAATGACTTATAGAAGTGGAATTGCTGAGTCAAGGGCTCAAATATATACATGTGTATGACCATATTTATACATACAAAATATATACACACATGTATAATATATACTCTATATGGATCACATGTGCTAAACATATATATCTTTATACACATATTTATCTATGCTAATCTTTGCATACCTACATGACTGTCAAGAGTGGAATTCCTGGATCAAAACATACATATGTGCATATTCAATTTTGATAAATATGGTACAGTTGTCTTCCAAAGTGACTGTACAAAAGCATTACTATTATAATAGTGTGTATAAGTGTTTCCTGACAATTTTGCCAACATCTCTCCTTTTTGTCACACCTACAGAAATTTGTTACATTTATTTTATAAACTTCCCATTATATTATTTCTTCATTTTTATACCAGCTTACCTTTTCCTCTTTTACGTATTTATGTATACTTTCAGAAGTTCTACTGTCATATGTTCAAATAACAGTTTCTAAATCTTGATTATGTTTTCTTTTGTTTTATATTTTTGGGGTTTTCAGCTAGATCACTGTAGTATTAGGGAAAATTTTATGCAATTTTAATATACATTAATTACCTCGGGGAAAGCTAGTGTCTTGGGATATCATCGGGGGCAGGGGACATATTAAGGTATATTAAGTAAAATGTCTCACCCATCCAAAATAAACATATTTTCCTTCATTCAAAACCTCAAAAGATCTGCAGTCAGTGTTTTAAACCAACAGAAGAGAACAATTCTGCACAAATGATCCACTGAGCATTCACTGCCTACTGACTTCCACCTTAGCACAACAAAAAGAACACAGGCCTATAGTCCAAGAACTCTTGATGATGCTAGCCTTTATCAGCCACATGTCCAGGGTTTGAGTCCCTCTAGGCCTCAATTTTCTCACCTGGGAGATAAGGGTAGTTATCCCAAATTCAAAGGCCATTGTGGAGATAAGATAATACAAGCGAAAGTGCCTACAGGTGACTAGTATTTGATGATATATTCTGTTTTAAGCATAAAACCAAAGTCATTCAGAATTCCAAAAGCCTTTGGAATGCTGTTAATGAGTCACATTCTTTTTTCTTTTCCTTTTTTTAATAAAAATTGTTTCTCTAGTGATTTATTTTCCTTTTTTTTTAAGACTTATTTATTTCTATGCATGCAAACTGGGGTACAAGCCAGAGGTGCAAGGGCAGTGAGAGGACTCACCAGAGACAAAGCAGGAAGCAGAACAGGCAAATCATGGCAGTACACTGCTGAGGGGTGCAGGGGTGGGTCAGGAGAGGCCTGTCTCCCCACGTGGATGAGGGTGGGCAGAGGATCTAACTCACAATGCAGTGGCTGAGGCCAGCTGACAGCTTAACCTGTTGTGCCACCAGGGATGGTCCACTAGTGATTTATTTTCATAATCGCCTTTTGCTTACTGTAATATTAAAATTGATAAAGTTCCACTGCATACCACAACTAACAAAAAGCAGGTGTTTGGCGGCAGGGGAAACCCAAGATGTGATGTCAGTTCATATTTTAAATTTTATTTTCACTGAACACTGAACTTACTGTAAAATAATTTTATTCAATGATCTGACTCAAGTGGCAAGC